CGACAGGTTGGTCTCCTGGTTCATTTCAAATACATTGAAATAGCTCGTCTACAGACTTGCTCCTGAAAAGTCAATGAAAAACTGTGAGAATTTGAAAAGAATATATTCTATAATGCTTTAATTATACATAGAGATATATTTTAAATCGTAGTTGGAAAGCCCAAAAGAATATTTGATGGTGGCACATTGTCTGGCATTACACAAGCCAGAAGTTCACATCTGGATTTAATTTGTAGTACTAAATCTGAGAACCTTGCTAACAACACTGATCCCCTCTGTCTCTTCTAAGCAGCAAACTGCAATGATGCAAAACTTATTATGCTACTTTTTGACTTTAAAAGAATGGTGGGTGGTTATAGCAAAGATCATACCCAAGAAATCGTCAGCTCAGTATTTTTCTTACTGTCCAACAAATATTTAATAACAAATACATCACACAGCAAGCACAGCAAGAAGACACATAGACTTAGGTCGATAAACTTAAACGCATGCATTTAAAGCCTCAGGCAGGAATAACAGTAATAAAGTTTACTGTTTAATAATGCTGGCACCACAACAAAAAGTATCGAGGTCATTGAATGCCAGAGGTCAGTATCCAGTATATCTGTTGCAAAGACAACAGAAGAACTGCAGAGGGGAGGGGGCTGGTTTTCTATGGGCGAACAGCAGGAAAAAAATATCTGCAGTCTTCCCATGACATTCCAGCTGCAGCAACCAGTTTTCCCACAAGGCATGAGAAAGGGGACATCAGGCCAACACACAAACAGACATGCACACACGCACACCTGTGAAGTCTTATGCAACAGGTAAAACATTATTTGTCACAGCATTACACTGGTACAAATTAAACAACAAAAAGATCAGGAGATTCATCTTCACACCTCACTATAGCAGCCACTCTTTACATTTTACACTTTACTTGTGACTAAATCTTAGTACAGCATATATCATTTTGTGACAAGGAACAGAAACAGTGATGCACATTAACCACGTATTTGCTCTGCTGCAGCTCAAAAAGAACTAATCCAACTTGTTCAGCAGTACTCCAGTATAATCCACTGTACATTTCTTGTCCATGATTCCAGTGATAACCCAAAACCAAAGAGTGTCACAGACACATATCTCCCAAAGCCCCTGGACGCAAATAGAACAGAGCAGACACAAAAACAAACAGAGTCAGAGGGACACATTACCAACCTGCTCTTTCTGTGGACGTGCAGTCCACATGTTGCTTAGTCTGATCCACCTGGCTTTACTCAATGTTGGGCAAAACTAAAGCAACTAAGACGCCTAAGCAGACAAAGAATTGCACAGCAGCAGCAGCGGCGGCGGCGACAGCAGACAGCTCCTTCTAGTCTGCACTTCTGTAAGTGTGGCTGGGGAAAAAAAACTAACAGTGAACTCTCTCCAACTCCTCAGGAAGGGAGGGGTCACACAAACTCTAGACCAATCACAAAAAGAGACTCTTCCCATAGCCTTTTCTCATTGGATAAAAAATAGTGCTGGACTTGTGCTGAAGTAGGAGGAGTACACTTGGGAAATTCTTTGACACTGACTCTGCCTATTATCTCATCACTTCTCACTTTTACTCATTCTCTGTTATTTGTTTATTTTTCTTGCTTTCCATTATTTATAGCTCATCTCTCTGTGTATCATTGCACATGTCACTTGGGTGTTATACTAAATATTTAAAAATAAGAAGAAAAAGAAAGAAAAATAGTTAGGCATTTGATTTGGCTGTGTTTTCACTTAAACTTGGTGTATAAATACAAATTATACTCCGTATGTTTTGCCTTCAAACTAAAAGGAAAGCGATCTCTTCTTCCATCTAGTGGAATAATTGATGTACTGCACCTCTGTGCAGGCCGAGTAAAGCCAGTAGTTATCGAGAGTGTATATTATGGGTTTGATAAGGACTTTAACCTGAAATCGACCACACCCTGGAAACACTTTCTCAGTTAACATTGCAGATAAAAATGTAACCACAAACCTTTACCACATTTACCACGTGCACTTGACACATGAAGGATGCTAAATGTGCTTCATTTTCAAATAAAAATAGATGAGAACTGTCTTTTTCTAAATAAATAACACACATTTTCAACTCTACTAAAAAGAAACGCATCTGAGAAATTAAATCGATCCCGACACTAAAATAAAAACATGACATAACAGGTAATACAACCAGTTTTGCTGTTAACTCGTGTTGTCTTAGAAACAATCCAATTTTGTCCATGTAAATAGTGAGTCAGTCTGTTATTTGGCATTACTTCAGTTGTTATGGGCACACCAAACCACGACGTTTGACTGTGCAGTACAAATGTCTAAAGTTGTGCTTTAAACCATTGTACAAATACGCACTTGCATGTGTAAACACACGCATCCAATGGTCTGTACACACATCTATATCAAATGATGACAGATACATACCGGAAACCTTCAAAGCACGGCTGTCCCGAAAGCTAACGACAGCAAGATCAGTCTTTCTCAAGTCATTTCTAACTAACCGGCTTCGTCTCCTCGCTTAAACACACACACATCATAATTCAGTGGTCATAAACGGTGTCAGCTGGTAAGCACTGAGCAAAGGGCAGAGAGATAACACCAATTGAAACATGAGAATCTCATCAGTGCAGGAAAAACAGAACTATGCTGCCAGTCAAAGGTGTGATTTTTGCTATTTTATTTTTGCTTTTGCTTAAGACAAAAGCAAAATAATCTGATATATCTTAATTATATGTCATTAAAAATGGTGATAAGCCTCTCACTCTTATCGAGGCAATCCTAACCTACCCTAGTAGAGTAATCATGTAATTAGTTTAGACCAACCAGTTCAGTGGGGCCGGGGCCGGAAAAGCTGCATTGTGGTGATTGGTCTGCCTTCCATCCACCTTTTTGGGCGTTTGCACACATACATTCACTCACTGCATTTCTTATACTGCTGACTTACACTCTCCATTGTTAGTTAGTAGAGCAGAGATGCCAGAACGTGCCCAGAAATTATGGTGAAGGCTAAGTTATGTTGTTGGGCTTTTTGTGACAAGCCCCACAAGTTTGGAGGTCATTTTGGTTCCAATAGGCAACTTATACAAATGTGATTTGGCAACTTGAAGTCCATTCATAGTGTATATTGATCATCTACCCAAAATTCTAAATTACTTTTTAAATAAAGACAGAATGCAATGGTTTGCAAATTACTTGTTTCCTATATTTAACTGAATATAGTAAAATGAGAAATATTATTTATCTATCCATCTATTTTCTTAACCATTTAAGAAGTAGCAATTAAGTATAAGCTTTAAATTGTTTTTGCAAAGTAGGTTTGTAGGTGAGATTGTTGTAAAGTAACACATGTTTATTCAAATTCATGTATTCTTAGATTCTGAACATTTCAGTGAAGAAATAGATGTTATTTCGTTGTGGGAAATGGTATAATGTACATTGTTGTCCAAACTAGAGAATGTTTATACAGCACTGAACATATCAGGGGGTAAATTTTTAATGGCAATCTGAAAATGCACAAGATCGTTATCAATTATTCTGTTAGTGTTACCTGCGTTTTT